TGTTGTGAGTGATGAGAGGAGGAGGGAGGAGGTGAGGAGGAGGAAAAGGGGGGTGAGAGAAAAAGAGAATCCCAGACCAGAGTCACTGTTATTGTTAACCAAACCTTGGAAGTGAAACAGTATCATTTTTGCCATATTCTATTGGTCACATGGTCCAAACATGGTATAATGAGGCTAATGTATTAGTCAGCTTGGTCTACCATAATAATTATACAAACTTGGTGACTTAAGCAGCAAATGTTTGTTCATACATTGAAGTCCTACTGCTCGTCAGGAGGTAAGCTGTTATGTGAACTCCCTATGAAGAGGTCTATGCAGTAGGGAACTGCAGAGGCATCTAGAATGAATGGCCTTAGTGTTGCAGCTGCAAGAAAGTGCATCCTGCCACTACCTGAGGGAGTATGGAAGTGGATTCATTGCTAATCGAGCTTCCAGATGAAAAAATGCAGCCCTAGGTAGGAGATACAGCAGACCAGTGCTGGACTCCACACTCAAGGAAACTGTGAGGCAGTAAGTTTCTGTGGAATTTATTTTAGGCTGCTAATTTTCTGATAATTTGTTATACAGTGATCAAAAAAGACTAATGCATCTTTGATGTCCTTGGTACCTCAAACAGACCTTTAAGATCATCAGTAAATTGATAGAGATAACTAAAGATCTTGGCTAATAACCTGTATTCCTGAAGTTGTTCTTATGTGTTTAAGGAAAAAGAATGTCTTTTTTTTTTTTTTTCAGGATAAAGGTGACCTTCTGATTTATTTGGACTTATAGTTCTTTTGTAGAAAGCACTTTCCTTTGAAGATGATATTATATCCTGAAACAAATAATCTAAAGTCTGTTATATATTTCTTGTTATTGGGCATGTGTTTTACCTAACTTCTGAAATCTAATGTTATTACAATAGTAGTCTTTTTATTTCTATATACCCTGAATAAGGAAGTAATTACTTTTGACATTTTTACCTTTGCTTTTTCCACTCCTCTGCTTTGAGTGCTCATGTGTTAAAAGTCCCCTTTTCATTGTGATTTTTTTTCTGCATCACTGAAAATTTGCCATTTAAACATTTACGTTAAGTATGAAATTTGAATTTTTAAAATTTTTATTATTTTTTTTTACTTATATGAAAATAGTCCCTTCCTCCAGCCAGTTCAAAACATATTCAAATAGTCTTGCACATAAAAGACAGCCATTTCAGTGCAAATTGTTGTTTTCCACTTGCAAGCATCCCAGTCTCCTTGAATCTAAAATCATTGTCTTTTTCAAACTGGCAGTTTGGTTTAATGTCTTTTGTTCGTAGAGGTAAATGCTATGTGTGATATAAAAGAAACAGGAGGTGAAATATATGCTCTGAAGAAACTGCCACACATGAGAGATAGAACAACAAACAAAAAGAAACATTTGGAACACCTACAGTAGTCCCAGAAACCCATACTGGAGCTCTTGACTCACTCATACCCACCTCCTTCCTCTCTCTCTTCTTCCCTGGCTGAATTATAAGAGGCTCCCAATATCCTCCCTTTTTTAAGAGTAAATACACCCTAACTACCACTTTGTCTGTTTTTATTAACTTCTATAATATAAGCTGCTAGAAGCATTCTCTCATCCCTTTAATTCTCAGTTCTTCTTCCTTGACCCACACTCCCCTTCCATCCTTCCATACTAAGACTTAGGATTTGCCTGCTGGAGCTTCTCATTCCTGATCAACAAATTCTTTTCCTTCTTTCTCCTAAATTTTCCTTTACTTCCTTCCCTCCAATGAGGAAGCCACACCTTGAGACTTTGCTTTGCTCTTAAATCTTCTCAAAGGAAGTCTGCTTGTCTGAGGACTTCTGAGCAGCGCCCTCATATTCACTGTGATTCCAGACCGTAGCTCTTTCACTGTCTCATGGAAATTCCAGTTTTCTAGTGGGATATACCATGTATCTGGGCTGGGCTGCCCTCTACTCTTACTTTGTCACTGTCTGCTGGTATGACGTTAAGACTCCTTTTTTTAAGGAACCATGTCCCTTGTAGTTCAGTGATGGATGTTACTATCAGAGGTCCTTCTTAATTCCTCAGTATCAATGAAGGACTTCATTTTCTGAAATTTCCTAGAAACTTTTTTTCTTGTCCCATACCTTGGTTTCTTAATGTGACTTTTTTATTCTTCCTGTTTACATGACATATCTACCTTAAAGCAGTATGGCAACAGTCTTTCAATGAACTATTGAATTTTAGAACTTATTTAAAGATCATAGAATCCAGCCCCCTTGAGGAAGGAAACTGAAGCCTGGAGAAGATGAGACTTACCTAATATCTCATAACAAGTCAGTTATAAAGCAGGGGCTCTTTCCTGGCACCATCCCTCCTCCACCCCCTATAGAGTTCTGTCTGTGCTATAACAGGCGATATTTCAGTTTCATAAGAAAATATATATTTTAATTTTCTTAATTGCATAAAGATTAAAGGGAAGAGCACATCTATATCCATCCAGGTATGCTAATAGTTGGTATAAAAAATTGTCACTATTTCAACTCTTTTCAGGTTCTCTTCTAACACATTATATGTTTTACATTTCACATTACCACTTTATAGATGGTATTCTTAACTGTTATAACATATTGTCTCCTGTCCAGCCCTTAAATGCTGCAATGAAATGGGAAGAGTCTTTTGATTCAGACATCCTCGAGCAGCTTCTTATAAGAGAGAGAAATTTAATATTTTCTGTACTGAACAGAAATGGTCCAATGCTTGAAAAGGCTTGTAACTATTTGACAATGAAATGATTGTGGCAAGTTTTGGTTCTGTTCCCAAAAGTTCCCTTTCTCAATGAGTAGCACCACCAGCCATCAGGTACCCAAGCCGAAACCTATTGATCATCCGTACTAGGCACTCGTTCCCAATACAGTCAATTTCTAGGAACTGTAGATTCATGCAATTTTTGAATGATTCCTCTTGCCTTCTAATTGTTTACCTTTCCTTCAGTCTTGCATTTTCCATACTGTTGTTCTTTCTGAAATAAAAATGCCATCCTTTCACTCCCAATTTTAACTTAATGATTGTTATATCGCTTAACCGGGACAGTAAAGGTTCAGTCTGTCTGTCCTGTTTGTTTTTCCACATACACCTTTTTAATTCTACATTCTATGTTTCTATCCTCTCTTGCTTGTTCATCCAGGTCTTGCCTATAAAGCTTTCTTAAACTGGAATCTTTTCTGTCTTTGTTCCGTTAGCTCTTACTTATACTTAAGTTCTTGACTTAGAGGTCATTCATGGTGTCTTCTCCTGGAAGGTTTACCTGACTGCTGAGCTCATATTAAGTGTCTCTTTTATGTGCTTTCCAGTAGCCCTGTCTCTCCTTTAAACTTTGAGTATTTTTCTTACACTACCCATGACTATCTTTGTGATACTCAACTTGGAAACCCCAGAAATAAATTATAAAGGTAAGAAATATGAATGAGAAAACTCTTGGGTCAGCTCTTTTTTATTAAAACCACCCCTTCATTCCTCCAGTAGAAACTGTTCCCTTGTCTCTAACAACAGTCTTATTCACCCAACTAAAGTACTTTGAATCTATGAATTTATGAACTCTGAAATGATTTATATGACTCAATTAACTTTACAGCATTGTATGAAGAAAAAGGAAAGGAGATTTCTAGATAAATTTTCATATATATTTTAAAGATCTGGCTCATCTAAATTAGGTGAAGAAAGTATCCATCTAAATTTAAAAAAGATATCGTTGGTTGAGATGGTTGGTGTTTCTATTACGTTGTATTAGATTTAGGTCAAATTTGTTTCTTAAGGTGTAGAGCATGAGGGCCTTTTGGTTTTTGTACTAACACATTAATCATTGGTTAAGATTATAAGTTGATTTTACTGTTTTAAATTATTATAGAAATTGTTATTGCTGTAACTCCTCTTAGGCCATAATTTTAATGATATTTTGATTCATTTGATCAGTGTTTTTGGTCAAGAATACACTCCTTAACTATAACCTAATTTCTAAGAGAAAATAGAATCCCCATTTCAAAAATCTACTATGTGATATTTGAGTTTTAGTACTGCAGTACAGCTAAAAAATGGAGACAGTATATGGGAAAATTAGAGGAAGAAGTGCAAGATTAAAGCAATGGAATAGTAGTATAATTTGAGAGGCAGTTCCCTGCCAACTACTTCTCTGAAAAGTGAACTGTTGATCCTCTCTGCCATAAAGCCTGTCTTGGACCTCCTGGTCAGAAATCATGCTTAGCACAATGGCACCCCTCCCTCTTCTTTGATGGGAAAGACTATTGATGATTTTCCATCTAACAGTTGGGTCACAGCAGGTTGTATTGGAGTTCTTTCTGGACTCCTGTAAACAGCAGTTGATTAGAACTTTCATATTCGTTTGTTTGATTTATTTTCTCTGTGACATAATATTTAAGTACGCTCCATGAATCCAGTGAAAAACACAAAATGTTTAGCTGACATACTAAAATTATTTAGTTATGTTTTAATAGGAATAATTTTTCAAATTCACATTCATTGAAAACTCATGAGGAAAGTAAGGCATCATTATTTCTGTATTGGATAAAAGTATTATCTCCCATCGAGATTTTTTTATTGTTATGTCCTTCTGTACCCATTAATGTATAAGAATAAGTCATTAGGTGACCTCTAAAAATAACATCTCTCTGTATTCCATTAATAGTATGAATTTACATTTGGAAAATGGATTTTCCAGTTAATCATTATGTATTAATTTTGGGGAATGTCAAATTTATCTCTTCTGTTTCCCTTGTGAAATACTGCTCATGACTTTAATTTTCTATTTTGACACAACTTTCACTGAACATAGAGTACTTATGTTGTCGTACTTAGGAACCTGGAAATTCATTAGAATCAAGAGGAATAGCTGCATCCAAATCGATGAACTGTTGCTGATTCTTTAATACCTCCAAAGGGAAACCAAGCTTATAAAATCTTGCTAACCACCTTGCATTGAGCTGTCACCTTCAATGTACCTTTGATATACTCACTTTTTGTTAAAGGGGAAGATGGAAAACAGAAAGTGTATCATTTCATTCACACGGACTTTGTCTGGAAGTGCGGCTGTGATATGATTTCTGTCAGAAACAATCTGCTTGATATTTCTCTGTCTTTGCTTGGGAACACAGAGTGCCCTGTCTGTTTTCTATCCCTGGGTGCTGGGATATGCTGCCTTGTCAAACAGCATTTGTCTTCACTCACTACCTGCTTGTTGAGTACAGTTCAGCCTCACCATGGTGGCAGAGAAAGCCTTAGGCTGCTCAGCATCTGTCTCTTCTTGTAATTAACTGTAGCCCTGGATAGGAAGCAAAACAGAGATTTTGCGCTGTGAAAGAGTAATGTGTCCAGACAGGAGTTTCTAAGCAGGGGAAAGATTTGTTAGTGTTTCTGTTCAAACAGGAAAACACCATTTATTTTTTACCTCAAAATGTTTTGAAGGCAAAATGACCATTGACTTTCAAAGCAAACTTTGGAAAGCTCACTTAATATGCCTTAAAAACTCTTTAAAAATATTTCACTTAACAATTTTAGCATCAAATAAAAAGTAGTAGTATTTATTATGCATCTTATTTTATGACTAAAATAAGAATCCTTGAGTCAACACTGACATAAATGACTAAAAAAATAAAAGAGGAAGAGAGACTCTTTGATACAATAGAATGTCAACTAATAAATCCTGAATTAGGAAAAAAATCACCATTTCACAACCTCAAGTAGTAATTGGATGCCAATACTAATGAATGAAAGTTTGATAAGCATCAGAATATAGTCTCAAATTATTCTCTCACTGATTACACATTTGTGTGTATAACAACATATATTTGCTATATAAATATGTAAAATACTGTACATTTTGATGTCTGTGCAATTCAATCTGGGCAAGGGACATAAGAGGTTTTTCATTTTCCTTTTTTAACTTTTCCGTAAGTTTGAAACTATATTAAAAACGTACCAAATTATAGTATTCACTTTTTTTTTAAAATTTCTTCTCCAGTAACTGGCGCGTGGCTTGGGCTTGGCACTTTTGACAAAGTATTAAGAAAAATGCATTATGCTACCCAGAACCTTCACTCACCAGCTGCCAACAAAGCTTCATTATTGTAGCATGTTCCACAATCAAAACCTGGTCTCTCTTGGGAAAAGAGTGACATTCTGAATACTTGCCTTACAGATACCCACTTAGAGACTTGCCATCCATGAGGATTTCTAAGTGAAATGCGTATATCTGCCTGTGTGGCTCTGTGATGTATTTTATAGTACCCTTTGACTTTATAGAAAAGGACCCTGAAATTTAGAAAATGAATGCTTGCAATTCTTCCTATGTCATTCTTAATAAGCTTGCTTTCAGGAACTAGAAGGCAAAGAAGCCTCCTCTTCTAAGACCTTATTGTGTAGCCATAGCAGCCCTGATAATTGCTTAAATGAGGAAAAGACACTAAATATTGTAATAAAGACTGCAAACAGTATTGAAAACAACGATACTAAACTCTTTCCTGGATATTTTTGGTATTCATTTAATATAGAGCATTATGATGCTTGAATGAATGGATTTCTACATTAATTTAAAATTTGAAATTAAGCAATCCAGTGTGTGTCTCAAGTAGCAAATAATACTTCTGACTAGCTGATTAGGCACCCTAACTTGCTTCTTCATGCAATAGTGCACTCTGTATTACACTTGCTATTCATGATGGACCTGACCGCTCCTTCATAGTTAGAACAGACAGACTCTTTTATTTAGTGCCTTTGATTTTTTCTTATCATTGTTTTTTTTCTGGTTTGTGACTAATAGTGGTAGGTTGCGTCCAGTCTCAGGCGTCAGTCCTCTTTGCAAATTGGCCCAGCTTGGCAACATTGTGAGATAGTCTTTGGTGTACTCCTAAGATCTCCAGTAATTAATTTGTTGATATTTGTAATTTTGATATGTATTTTTCATTAAAAAATACACTGATTTTTATATGTGTTTAGAAATAAAAGTGCTTCCACTTTTTTCTATTTTTTTGTTTCTGTTTTTTACCTAATGTTAGAAGAAGGCAGTAGGAGTCATATTGTCCACAGTCCTTATGTTAAGGTTTAGGAAGCTACTTCTCTTCAGGATTAGAATTGGGTCCCAGAAATCTTCAACTTGCTTGGAAATCATGGCTGTTGGCAGGACTGGAGTTTAGACCAAAGGTTTCAGGTCCCCTGGGACAATGTTGCCACGCTCATAACAGCCAAGAATCTGTTTGATGTCTTAGAAATTCTTAGAAATTGGGCCTCTCCTGGTGGCGCAGCGGTTGAGCGCTGGGCTATGAAGCTGCCTGCAGCCTCTGCAGCAGTGGTTCGATCCCTGGCCGGCTGGCGAGGGTCCCACATGGTGCAACAGATCTCTCCTGCTGCGTCCGCTGCTCCCCTCAGCAGCGTATTTCATCTCTCTGCCTGTTCTGCTCCCCACTCTGGCTCTGGTGAATCCTCTCACCCTCCTTCTCTTCTGACTGTACCCAGTGCTTGTATAAATAAATAAATAAACAAACAAGCAAACAAACAAATAAATAAATAAATCTTTTAAAAAATTTAAAAAAAGAAATTCTTAGAAATCAAAAACATAACTTTTAAGTAAAATGTATAAGGAAATTATACATAATACTTGTAAAACTTTTTGCTTTCAAATAACTTTAGATTTATAGAAGAACTGATAAGATAGTACAGAGTTCCTGTATCCATTCTATTCAGCTTCCCCTAAGGCTGACCATGGCACTTTAGCCTGGGTATATCAGTATTAACTAAGCTGGAGACTTGCCTTGGGTTTCCCTTGTCTCTCCATGGATGTCCTTTTTTTCTAATCCTAATCTGATCCAGGATACCAACTGCCTTTGGTAGTCATGTCTCCTTAGTCTCCTCAATGTGTCAGTATTTCCTTTCTTTCATAACCTTTATCCTCCTTCATAGTGGTCAGATATTTTGCAGAATGTTTTTCAGCTGGAGTTGGTCTAAGGTTTTCTTTTTAAAAATTTTATTTGTGGGCCTCCCTGGTGGCGCAGCGGTTGAGCGCTGGGTTGCGAAGCTGCCCGCGGCCTCTGTGGCGCCGGTTCGATCCCCGGCTGCTCCCCGGCCACCGGAGGAGGGTCCCACATGGCGTGCAGACCTCTCCTGCCGCCCGCTGCTCCCCTCAGCAGTGTACTTCAGTCCTTCTGCCTGCTCTGCTCCCCGCTCTGGCTCTGGTGAATTCTCTCACCCTCCCGCGCTTCTGACTGTACCCAGTGCATGTATAAACAAAACAAACAAACAAACCAGCAAACAAATAAATAAAGCATGCCTCTATAAAAAAAAAAAAATATTTGTTTATTTTTGCATAGAAGGACAGGGGTGTAGGCCAGAGGTGTGGGGGATGAGAGGATTCACCAGAGACAGAGTGTGGAGCAGAGCAAGCAGATTTATTGAAATACACTGCTAAGGGGAGCAGTGGTTGAGTCAGGAAAGGTCTGCTGTGCCTTATGTGGGTTAGCTTCCCGGCTGGGGATCAAACTCAGGCCTTAAGCGGTGATAGCACTGAGACTTAACCCCTAGGCCACAAGGGAGACCCTTTCTGAGGTTTTCTTATGGTTAGACTGAAGTTACACATTCTGGGAAAAATAGCAGAGAATTGATGCACCCTTTTCATTGCTTGATAGCAGGCTGTGCATGATAGCAATATAATATAACTGCTGATTTTAACCTTGACAACTTGGTTAAGGTGGTGTCTGCTAGGCCTCCTTACATAAAGTTACTAGTTTTCCCTTTCCATACTCTATTGCTTAGAAACAAATAGTTCCTTCAATCAAAGGGAGGGGAATTGAGCTCCTATGGAGCATGGAGTACTAAAAAAATTGTAATATATTTAAGACACTACAGTAATTACAAATATTTGAGAAGAGATACTTTGGGTCTATGCAAATATCCAATTTCTCATCAGTTTTGCTCACTAAATTAGTATTTATCTGTGGCTCTTGCCTGCTATGATATCCTAATGGTGATTTTTTATTTCTCTCTTTTTCTACATATATTTTATTTATTTATTTTTTATAGATTTATTTATTATACAAGAACTGGGGTATGGGCCAAATGCGCAGGAGGGCGAGAGGATTCACTAGTGACAGAGTGGGGAATAGAACAGGCAGACTGATGAAATATGGCTGGGATCGAACCCATGCTACAGAGACTGCAGACAGCTTCACAATGCTGTGCTCAACCACCTGCACCACCAGGGAGGCCCTTTTTCTACATTTATTAACTGGAATTTTTAAAGGGAAAATTGCTTCATTCTCCCCCACTTACTTATCTATCCATGCTATTAATATGTTCATATGGACTAATGGATAATTCATGTTATTCTTTGGGTGATAATCCAACATTATAATTATTTAAATTTTTGCTCAAATTTTTTGTCTCAGCCATTGGGATATCTTTTGGATTGGCTTCTGTGTCTTTTTGACACATTATACTATTTTTCCTCCTTTTTAACTCTGCCTTGCTTTCTGCTAGTACCAGGTGCTCCAAGATCATCTAGTGTGTTCACTGCCTCCACCATAGAATCAGCCATTTCTCCAGGATGTCTTAGTGTACATATTGCTGCTGTGGTGTGTTAGGTCCTCTTAGTGAACAGATCCAGAAAATAAATGTATATATTTATGCATATGTGTGTACATATACTACCTTTGAAGCACATGGATTTATATTTATTTTGTGTATATGGTTAAGTAAACATGAGTTCATACTGATGTGTTTGACTGATCCAGCGCTACAGGCTCATTCTAATATTTCTTGGTTATTTGTGAGGCTATTTGAAACTTCTTTCTTTGACAGTGAGAAAACTGGCTCCCATCATATATATTTTCTTATTTGTTCAACTTTAATATAAATGTAACAGTGTCAGAACTGCTAAACCTTACTACTATGAGAAATAAGTGCTCTATGTAAGTCTTTATCTTTAGCTTTCCAATATACAGACAGAAAATGTGTTTTCACAGTTTATTTAGGTTTTATCCTTCCCACCTCTTCAGTGAGATCACCTTACATGTCTCTAATACAGTTAGATGGATTTATCACAATCTGCCTTCAATCCTGGTTCTCCTAAAATTCGGGTTGGTTTTGTTTTGTATGTTTATTTATTTTTTTAATTTTCATACAGTAAAAGTCACTTTTTCTGGTACAAGGTGCTATGCCTTTTCTAACAGCATAGAGTCATGTAATCACCATCTAGTACCATAAAGACTACTACTCCCTGGCAACAACCTCAATTCCTTTGTAACTACCCCTCCTCTCAACCACATTCCCAGG